GACATACTCAGTGCTTTTAAAAAATTTCTTCTGCGTAACAGCGAAACATAATGAGCATGATATGTCTCGTTACGTCATCGCTTTAGGTTTGTTGTTCACTCATTCAATTGCTCCCCTTTTACCTTTGCATTACTTGTATAGTAGCTTTTTAATAAATCCTAGTTTTTATGAATTGAACTTAATTTGGTACAGAAAAGCGAATCAACATTTTGGAATTGTTTGTGTAATTTAATATAAGTAGGTTTTGTACAGCTATAACTGCATTTCAGGTTCACTCACTTTTTATAATTAAGATTATTGTGTACGATCTCAACCTGTCGTCTGTATCTGCACTTATGTAAAATAAATATTGTTTTCATTTGTTGTTTGTTTGAAAAATGTGGCGTTTTAAAATGAATGATATTGTCAAAGTTTAATTAATGTCAATTACATTAAATAAAGTTAATCAACAATTACCTACACAGTTAATAAAATACTTTGTAGTACATAGTTCTACTCACCACGAATTGATCTCGTAAACGTTGGCGGTATAGGGGAAGCTTCGAAGCTGGGGTATACCTTCAGATTAGCGGCGGTGTTGACTGATCCATTCTCATTCTCCACAGTGCAGCTGTACTCAGCAGAATCACTTACAACTGCATTCAAAACTTCCAGAGTGATTAACCCATCAATGAACTTTGTCCTATACTTTAACTTATTGTCCAACAGGACCCCATTTCTGTACCAAGTGATTTTAGGATCACTTGAGGACAAAACACTGCATGTCAATTTTACTCTCGAACCTTCGACGGCAGTACGATCAGTAAGGTACGTAGAAAAGACCGGTTTTCTCTTCAAATCCCTGGAGAGGCTAGAACGCTTCTCAGATATTAAACTCCTAGCTTCGCTTAGAGCCTTAGATCTGTGACGGTCTACTCGTCTCTCGGATTCACCTCTATCAAACCTCTCCCGTCTTTCAGATTCACTCCTCTCAGGCAATGGTGGGACGGACGATCGCAACTGTGAATCCAAAATTATAGTTTGGGCTTTGTATATTGTTGCTATTTTACCTAAACTTTCTCTTTCTGAGAACCGTTCGTGCTCAAACGTTTTCTCTCTGTAGCCAGATGGCCTGATAAATTCCATCGTGTAATCTTTATGGTTGTGATCAACAAACTTGGCCCGATCTTGAGATCTTTCCTTTGTTGGTTCGTAGTGATATTCTTTTATGTAATGATCCTCGTCGGTTCCTCGTTTTACAGAAATGTCCCCGTTTCTTGGTCTCGATGAAGCTTCCAGCTCTGAAGTTGATGGCTTCTGTTTAGTGTCAATTAAATCTTTCTCTATTTCTCGTCGTCTCTCTTCTCGTATTCTTCTTTCTGTTTCTCTTATTTCATGTTCACGTTTTTCAAGTTCTTCCTGTTCTTTTGCAATTCGAAGTTTTTCTTCATCTTTCCTCTTTCTAGCAGTTTCTTTTCTAGCCTTTTCAATTTCTTCGGCTTCTTGTTTAAGGCGTGCATCTTCATCTTCTCTTTTCTTTTTAGCAATCCTCTTCTTTTCCAATCTAGCTTTTTCTTCATCTTCCCGTATTTTTTGCTCTTCTTTTTCTTTTTCTAGTTTCTCTATTCTTTTCTTTTCCCTCTCTCTTTTTATCTCTTCTTCTTGCTTGGATATTTCCTCTTTTGCTTTTGCTTCTAGTATTGCTTTTTCTTTTAATCGTTCTTCTTCTTCACGTTTTCGTTCTTTTTCTTCTTTTTCTTTTTGAGCCTTGGCCTCTTGTTCTTGCTTTTCCTTCTCTTCTTGTTTACGTTTCTTTTCAGCAGCTCTTTGTAGTTTTTCAGATTTGGTTTGAAGTTTCTCTTCTTTTTCTAATTTCTCTTTACGTTTCTTTTCATCTTCTAATTTCTTATTTTCTTCCTTTTCTTTCTTTTCTGTTTCGATCTTCGATCTTTCTTTTTCTTCTTTACATTTTTTATCAGCTTCCAGCTTTGATTTATCTTCCTCCTCTTTTCGTTTCTTTTGCTTCGTTTCTTCGTCTTTACGTTTGGATTCAGCTTCTAGTTTTGCATTTTGTTCCTCTTCTTTGCGTTTCTTTTCTGCTTCCAGTAATGCTGTATCCTCTTTCTGTTTCTTTTCAGCTTCTAATTTTGCCTTCTCCTCTGCCTCCCTTTGTTTTTGTTCAACCTCAAGTTTAGCTTTCTCTTCCTCCTTTCGTTTCTTCTCTGCTTTCTTTTGTTTCTTTTCTTCATCTTTACGTTTATTTTCAGCTTCTAGTTTTGCATTTTCTGCCTGTTCTTTGCGTTTCTTTTCTGCTTCCAGTAATTCTGTATCCTCCTTCTGTTTCTTTTCAGATTCTAGTGTTGCTTGTTCTTCTTCCTCTCTGTGTTTATTTTCAGCTTCTAGGTTCGCCCTTTCCTCTTCGTCCTTTCGTTTCTTCTCTGCTTTCTTTTCTTCATCTTTGCGTTTATTTTCAGCTTCTAGTTTAGCTTTTTCTTCGTCCTTTCGTTTCTTTTCTGCTTTTTCTTCTTCCTCTTTCTGTTTCTGTTCAGTTTCAAGTTTAATCTTTTCTTCGTCTTTTCGTTTCTTTTCCGCTTTTTCTTCTTCCTCCTTCTGTTTCTGTTCAGCTTCCAGTTTAGCTTTCTCTTCCTCTTTTCGTTTCTTCTCTGCTTTCTTTTGTTTCTTTTCTTCATCTTTTCGTTTATTTTCTGCTTCTAGTTTTGCCCTTTCTTCTTCCTCCTCTTTACGTTTCTTTTCGGCTTCAAGTTTGGCTCTCTCCTCTTCCTCCTTGCGTTTGTTCTCAGCTTCTAGTTTTGCTTTTTCCTCATCCTCCTTCTGTTTCTGGTCAGCTTCCAGTTTAGCTTTCTCTTCTTCTTTTCGTTTCTTCTCTGCTTTCTTTTGTTTCTTTTCTTCATCTTTTCGTTTATTTTCTGCTTCTAGTTTTGCCCTTTCTTCTTCCTCCTCTTTACGTTTCTTTTCGGCTTCCAATTTGGCTCTCTCCTCTTCCTCCTTGCGTTTGTTCTCAGCTTCTAGTTTCACATTTTCTTCTTCATCTTTACGTTTCTTTTCAGATTCAAGTTTAGCTCTTTCCTCTTCCTCCTTGCGTTTGTTCTCAGCGTTTAGTTTTGCGTTTTCTTCCTCTTCTTTACGTTTGTTTTCAGCTTCTAGTTTTGCCTTTTCCTCTTCATCTTTACGTTTCTTTTCAGCTTCAAGTTTGGCTTTTTCCTCTTCCTCCTTGCGTTTGTTCTCAGCTTCTAGTTTTGCTTTTTCCTCATCCTCCTTCTGTTTCTGGTCAGCTTCCAGTTTAGCTTTCTCTTCTTCTTTTCGTTTCTTTTCAGCTTTCTTTTGTTTCTTTTCTTCATCTTTTCGTTTATTTTCAGCTTCTAGTTTTGCCTTTTCTTCCTCTTCTTTACGTTTCTTTTCAGCTTCAAGTTTGGCTTTTTCCTCTTCCTCCTTGCGTTTGTTCTCAGCTTCTAGTTTCGTGTTTTCTTCCTGTTCTTTGCGTTTAATTTCTGCATCTAGTTTTGCCCTTTCTTCCTCCTCCTCTTTACGTTTCTTTTCAGCTTCAAGTTTGGCTCTCGCCTCTTCCTCCTTGCGTTTGTTCTCAGCTTCTAGTTTTGTTTTTTCCTCATCCTCCTTTTGTTTCTGTTCAGCTTCCAGTTTAGCTTTCTCCTCCTCTTTTCGTTTCTTTTCAGCTTTCTTTTGCTTCTTTTCTTCATCTTTGCGTTTATTTTCTGCATCTAGTTTTGCCCTTTCTTCTTCCTCCTCTTTAAGTTTCTTTTCAGCTTCAAGTTTGGCTCTCTCCTCTTCTTCCTTGCGTTTGTTTTCAACTTCTAATTTTACTTTTTCTTCTTCCTCCTTCTGTTTCTGTTCAGCTTCCAATTTAGCTTTCTCTTCCTCTTTTCGTTTCTTTTCAGCTTTCTTTTGCTTCTTTTCTTCATCTTTGCGTTTATTTTCTGCATCTAGTTTTGCCCTTTCTTCTTCTTCCTCTTTAAGTTTCTTTTCAGCTTCAAGTTTGGCTCTCTCCTCTTCTTCCTTGCGTTTATTTTCAACTTCTAATTTTACTTTTTCTTCTTCCTTCTTCTGTTTCTGTTCAGCTTCCAGTTTAGCCTTTTCTTCGTCATTTTGTTTGTCCTCTGCTTTCTGTTGTTTCTTTTCGTTATCGTTACGTTTATTTTCTGCTTCTAGTTTTGTCCGTTCCTCTTCCTCCTTCTGTTTCTGTTCAGCTTCCAGTTTCGCTTTCTCTTCTTCCTTTCGTTTCTTTTCCACTTTCTTTTGTTTCTTTTCATCATCCTTGCGTTTATTTTCAGCTTCGAGTTTTGCCTTTTCCTCTTCTTCTTTGCGTTTATCATCAGCTTCTGACTTGAAATGTTCCTCTTCCTGCTTCTTTTCTGCTTCTAGTCTTTCCCTTTCTTCTTCCTCTTTGCGTGTTCCTTGCTCTTCTTCGTGTTTCTTTTCACTCTCTAGTTTTGACTTTTCTTCTTGCTCTTTGCGTTTAGTTTCAGCTGTTAGTTTAACGTTTTCCTCTTCCTCCTTCAGTTTCTTGTCAGCTTCTAACTTCGCCTGTTTATCATCTTCTATACGTTTCTTTTCCACTTTCTCTTGAACCTTTTCTTCCTCTTTTTGTTTATTTTCCTCTTCTAGTTTTGATATTCTTTCTTCTTCTTCATTCTTGCGTTTCTTTTCAGCTTCTAATTGAGTTTTCTCTTCTTTTTGTGTCCTTTCCGCTTCTAGGTTTGTCTTTTCTTCTTCGTCTTTGCGTCTCTTTTCATCATCTTTGAGCTCACTTTCAACTTCAGATTTGGTTTTTTCTTCCTCTTGTTTACGTTTAATATTAATTTCGACTTTTGCTTGTTCTTCTTTGCTTTTCTTTTCTTCTTCTATTTTGGCTTCGTCTACTTTCTGTTCTTCATCTTTATCTCTTTGTTTTTTATCTACTTTCTTTTGTTTCTTCTCTTCCTCCTTTTGTTTCTTTTCTGCTTCAAGTGTTGATTGTTCTTCTACTTCATCTTTAGCTTTCTTTTCTATTTCCAATTTTTCTTGCTTTGTAATTCTCCTTCGTCCTTTTGTCCCTCGGCCTCCAATTTTTCTTCGTGCTTTTCTTGTCTTTTATCTGCTTCCACTTGTTTGTCCTCTTCTTCGAACTTTGCAGTTTGTTCTTTATCTGTTTGTTCCTTTTCGGCTTCGACTTTTTGAGTTTCATCCTCTTGTTTCTTTTGTTCTTCCAATTTTTCTTCGTTTTTGCGTTTCTTTTCGGTCTCTAATTTTGCTGCTATTTTTTCCTGTTCCTGCTTTTCAGATTCTAATTTTAGTTTTTCTTCTTCTTCTTTAGTTTTCGTTTCCTTTTCTTGTTTATTTTGTTCTTTCAGTTTTATACTGTCTTCCTCTTCTATGCGTTTTGTTTCTGTTTTTTCTTTTCCCGCTTTCTTTTGTTTCTTTTCAGCGTCTAACATATTCTTTTCGTCTGTTTCGTCATCTATTAGTTTCTTTTCAGTTTCTAGTTTCTCACTTTGGTCTTCCTCTTCTAATTTTGATGTCACTTCTTCAAATTGTGTCTCTTCCTCTTCCTCGTGTTGTTTGTTAACTTCCTTTCGTTCTTTTTCTAGTTTGAGTTTGTCATCTACATCTTTTTGTTTGTTTTCCGCATCCGTTTTTGCTTTATCATCTTCCTCTATCTTGTCTACTTTGAATGCATGACATTCTTCTGTTATTTCTTGTTTTTTTACGTCTGTTTGTTTCTCTGCCACTTCGAGTATTAGTTTTTCTTCATCCTTTTGGGTGTCTGACTTTACTTTTTTCTCGGTATCTTTTGATGCATTCTCTACCATTTCTATTTTTTCTTTTTCTCCCTTTTCAGATTCCATTGTTACTTTCTCTTTTTCTACTTCTTGTTTCTTTTCTTCTTTTATATCCGTTGTTAGTGTAACTTCTGTTTCTACTTCACCTTTTACCTCTTCCTCTAGCAGTTGTTCGACTGATAATTTAGCGGATTTTTGTTCAGTTGATTCTGATGAGTCAGATGGTTTTAACGGTTCTTTTTGGGCTTCTGTGAAGTCTAACTTCTCAGCTTCTTCTTTCTCTATTGATACTTCTGTTTGAACTTCTTCCAGCCTTTTTTCTTTATTATCATGTTTTATTTCAATATCTACCTTTTCTTTCTGTTCAGCTTCCAATTCTACTTGGTCGACTTTCTTTGTTTCTTTTTGTTCAATTTCTGATCTTAATTTTTCTTCATTTACCCTCTGCTTAGGTTCTGCATCTACGTTAGTTTCTTCTTCCACATTCTCTTTTACAACTGTTTCAGCTTGCTCCATATCATTCTTATTAGGTTCTGTGGTTTCTGCGTCCAGTGTGTCTTGTGTATTTTTTTCTGAAACTTCATCTTCTCGGACCTTATCAGCCTTAGTTGCCTCTTTATGCTTTGATTCTATACCAGTTTCTGACGTTTCTATTTCCTGTTCTGTCTTCGTTTCCGATACCTCTTGGTTTGATTCGGGTTCAATTTCTTCTTTTTCTGTAGCTTCTTTTACTACTTGTGACACCTGTTCTTTTTCAATTTCAACTTGACCCGGGGCGTCTTTCGGAATGTCTGTGTCTTTAATTTCTGTAACACTCTCTATAGATTGTATTCTTGTCTCTGTTTGGTCTTGAATCACTTTTTCTTGGCTTGTTACAATTTCTTCCTTATCTTTTTTACTCTCTTCTTCCGTGGTAGCAGAAACTTTAGAGCTTTGAGTTCCTGATGTTGAAGGACCTTGAACTTCTTCCAAAAGCTTTTCCATGTCTCTATCTTTTGTAGATAGTTCGTCTTCTTCTTTCTGGATTTCTTTACTTAAGTCTTGTTCACTTTCCTTTATTACTTGAACTTTCTCTGATGATAATGGCTCTTGTTTGTCCTCTACATATTTTTGAGATTTGTTTCCAGATAACTCTTCTTCAGATATCTTTTGTGGCGTAGCTTCCTGCTCCATGTCAGTCTTGACATCAGAAGTTGAAACTGCGGCTTCAACTTCGGTCTGTTCACCTTGTGTTATACAAGGTTTATCTACTTCTTGTACTTCTGTACTTTCAGTGTGATAAATTTGAAGGTCTATTTCGGCTATAGTTTCATCGGCTCCAACAGTAGCTAAGGTTGATTCTTCCATTGCAATACTTTCCTCTACATTCATTTCACTACTTTCAGGGTTTTGAATAATCTCATCTTCAACATCTTGTACTTCAGTTTCAGGTAATACTGTTTCTTTACCTAACATACTGAGTGCTTCCAAATTCTGTATAGCTATAATAGCTTGTGCAGCTATTTCATCTACTAATTCGGTAGCTACTTGTTGGATCTCATTTATATCGATCTCCTGAATCATCACAGTTTTGCGTACTTTAGTCTTTTTAGCACTGGTTTCTTCGACAACAGTTTGGCTTACAGTGTCCTGTTCTTCATGAGACTTTTCCATTGGTTCATTTGTCTGAGATATACTAGTATCATCAAATTTCACATCTGACTTTCCTTCAGTAGTCACATTCTTTACTTCTTGCACTTGGTGTACTTTTTCTAATGAAATATCTTGTTGTTGTAATGCTTCAGGCTCTTGTTTTATAGCTGTTGATTGTTTGCTAATATCAGTTATTTTCATTTTTATTAATTCTGTAACTTTAAGTATTTCAGATGAAATTTGTTTGAATATCGGTATTTTTTCTTTAACCTCTAGAGTTGACTTCGACTCCATGTTTGTGAGGCATTTGTTAACGCATTCTATAAGATCAATTACTTTGTTGACTGTTTCTTTGTCTAATATTGACGCTTTTGGTACCAGTACTTCACAGATATTACTTTTTAACTCTTCTAGTATGATTTTAGTAAACGCTGCATCGCTTGGTAATCTAGCTGTTTTATCTAGATTAATGTAAAATTTGATATCTTCGAAATGATTCAGTACTTTACGAAGTGATTTCGTAAACGATTTCCAATTATTTTGGTCTCCTTTTTCAATATCTAATATTACTGATATATTTTTAATGGATTTTAATAATGTTTCTGACGGTTTACCATAGTTTTCAAACATGTATCTCTTTTGTATGCTTGACATTGTACCTCGCATATTAGATATACTTCCGTAAACAGAGTGAACTGCTGTGAGTATATGATCTCGCGTCTCTGTACTGAGGTTAACTTCAGCCAGTTCTTTTTCTAGCGAGAATACTTTGTCTTCCAACTGGTCAAGAGTTTGAATGACATCAACTCCCTTTTCGATTAAAACCTCAGCGTTGCTTCCAAAACTAAGTTTGAGTGTTTTAATGGTGTCTTTAAGAATATTTAAACTGGATACTATACCAGCTAAATTTTCATTTTTAATATCAACCTTACAAGCTTGCTCTAAGAGTTCCACTGTTTCATTTGACTCACTGGAACATTTCTCGAGAATGTTTTCATTTTTTACCTCAACTGATACAGTTTCGGCAGCCTGGACTTCTTGAGTTTCACTCATATTGTTGACAAGTAGCTGTAATGTCGCACAAGCATCTTTAAGTAACTCTGGCGGACTGTCTTCGTTAATTTGCAACTGCACACTTCTCACGCTGCACTCTAGATCTTCAAGTGTCTCATTTAGAGTATCGTTGGCAGCTCCATCATAATCACATTTCAGTTTAATAATCACCGTCTGTACTTCATCCAAAGCGTTTTGTAAAGCTTCTGTATCTTCAACTTCCCTAACTGTAGGAATATTAATTTTATCCGTCACTTCTTGAAGCAATACTTCTAGTTGTTTCATTGAATTTTGTTCATCGGGAACTTCAACTGAAAATATACATAACGAATAAGTAATAGATCAGTGGCTTAATTAGAATATACAATTCTCTTCTATATAGGAACACAAACCTATTTCTGCAGTCTGAAGTACCTCTGGTAATATGACGATGGCCTTTTCCAAATCTTCTTGCAAGTGTGTGATAACTTCAGAAACTTTTTGAAGAGCATCGGGCTTACTCATGGAACCAATATCTTCAGCACTTTCCAAAGCCTTATTGTGTAACGTTACCAAAGTATCTTGTAATTTTTGAACTAATTTAGCCTGTTCTATTTTAGCATCTTCCACTAAACCGGGCTCCTCGCTCACTTCAATTATTTCTATACTTTCTTTCAAAGATTTTGCTAGTTCAATGGACTCTTTTAATTCCTGAGAGTTTGTCATCGTTGAGATTGCATATACTAAATCTGATGTTTCTTCTGATATGAAGTCGTTAATGTGTTGAACAAGAGCAGTTTTTTCTGGAAATAAATAATGTTATTAAATATAATTGCAAATTATTCTTTAAAAGCTTTGTAAGCTTGACTTTCAGCTGCGAGTATTATGTGCATGTAGAAGTGTGCATGTGGTATGGTGTGTGCGTAATGTAAAGTGTATTGTTTAAATTGCCGATTCTAGTAGCCGAAAATAATATTAAACCGATTTTTTGTAGTTAATTACTATTCTACTTAATGTCTAAAGAGGTCACGATAAAAATATAGAGTGAAGAACATTTTTATTTTAATCAAGCGAAAGGCCTTTATGATATGCATTACGAATGGTGTAAAACTCAAGTGGATAGCTAATTCATAAAATTTACCAGTGTTTTCTACAAAACTATGCATCGCAGTATCACGTAAGTTCTTGTCTTTTTCCAGGATTCCTGGAGATTGTAAGTTAGCATTAACATTTGCAACAATTAATTTCGAGTCTTGTACCAAATTGTCTTCTTTTATTAACGGATTCACTGGCACACTCTCAGTTAATTCTACATCAGCATACGATTCTATCTGTCTAGAATCGGGCATAGTCTTAAAAGTAGCTTCTTTTTCAAAAACAATACACATTTCTTGTGTTGGTGTATGTATTTCTGTTAAAATGTCCGTAGCTTTTAAAGAAGGCCTGTCTTCTTTATTTCGTTGATCTATTGAGGAAACTGATTCTAATATTAAACTATGACTGGTATCACTGACTGTCATACCCATTAATGACTTTTCTTCATCTTTTACTACAGGTATTTGGTTACTTTTGCCTGTTTCTATATGAATTTGGGGTGAAAATTCATCGGCTATAGGTGTTAATGGTTCAAAAATTAATGGATGAGAAACTTCAGTACAAACTGATAATTCTGAGGAAGAAATTATTGGATTCATTAAAGATGACCTTTCATGAAAGTCATCTATAGATATTGCTGAGTCAAATACGTCTGTTGCGGAACTTAATACGTCGGCTTCATTAATATTCAAGATTTCGGATATGGTTTCCTGATCTACAGAAAAGATGTCTGAAAGTGCAGATACTAAAGAAACAGCTGCATCAGTTTGAACGTTTTGACGTAATAGAGATTCATCTGCTAATATTTTCTGATCTGTTGTATTTTCAATAGACTGCATAACTTCTGAAAATGTCGATTTATCATTTGGTTGGTCAATAATAGACATGTTTATATTTTTATCTTTTTCTTCACAGTATGATTCCATTAGCATAGGTTGAATACAGATTTGTTCTTTAGGACCAAGAGTGTCTTCAGTAACAATGTATTTTTCATATTCAATATGTTTAATGGCATCTTCTATAATTTCATCAATTTGTTCTAGTAGCATAAGCGCACCCTCATGACTAAACAGTGTTTTCTCATTAGTCTCAAGTTCTGCTGCGTCCGCTGATTCTTGTTTATTTTGTGGTATTATGTTTTCTAGTATCATAGAGTCCGTGTCTTCATTTCTTCCTATTGTTTCACTAGCAATGGATATTTGCCCCGTCGCAGAATTATTGGGTTTATCAAAACCAACACTTTCTAAGCAAATTGACTCACTTTGCTGACACGCCACAAATTTTTCAGAATTTTCTGTAGATTGAATCGCACATAATACAATCTCTTTTTCTATTGTAGGGGTCGAAGATTCAAGAATAAGAGCTTGTGTGTTCAATAGTGATTTTTTATTAATTTCATCAGAAGTTTCTTCGTAAGAACTGACGTTTAGTACTTCTTCTGAAACACTAACTAAAATTGGTGCAGCTTCTTCTAAAATTTGCAATTCGTTTTCAGTGATCGCAATGTTTTCGAATGGTTGTTCCACACGCTTATCGGCTACAGTTTCATTTGTTTGTACTTGCTCTAAAATAATCATTTCAGTTTGAGTAGGTACATTTTTTTCGACCACATCATCGCTAGGTTGCTGCAAAGTGGCAACTAATGGTTCAATATTTGAAATTGGTACTATCATTTCTAATATTATTGGACTCGTAGTTTCGATTATATTAAGTGGTATTTCATCAATTTGATCCTGAGATTTTTCACTCTGGCAAACTACCATGTTACTTATTTCAATAGGTGACATTGATTCTAAAACAAAAGGTTGCGCGTTTTGAGTGTAAGCATTTAGTACCTTAAAATTCCTTTCCACTGAAGTTTCGGTAACAGCATTATCAAAACAAGCTGTTTCGGATGCTACAATTTCCTTCTTTTCAGGTGCATTCACCGCCTCTAACTCATTTTCTACTATTGGTATAGCATATTCAAAATTTATTTCTTGTACAGGTGTTACTGACTCCATTATAGTTGGAGATATATTGGTATTAATTAACTGTATTTCCAAAATAGGTTCGTCAGATGTTGATGCACACAGTTGCGAAATTTCTTCGAGAGGCATCACAGAGTCCAGAATAAAGGATTCTGAAGTTACTTGTACACTAATAGGTTCTTTAACATTGTCAATGGTTTTTAGATCGGTATCGGTAGTTCTATCACTTTTATCACGTGCAATTTCCACATTTGAGATTTCTTCTTTCATTTTACTCACAGAATCGAAGATCATTGGTTGTAGAGTTTCATCTAGAGCGATTGTTTTATGTATCTGTCCATCTTTATCATGACTCGCTGTTGCTTTGTTGATTCTACCCTCATCAATTATCATTGGCTTTGCTGACTCTTCTATCACCATCTCATAGCATTCGCAAAGTGCCACCGTCTCAGGTATATGATAATCTTCAATTATAACAGTAACTTTTGTTTCATTTGGTTCAGCTTGCTCTAGAACAATTGGTTCATTTTCAAAAACTGCAACGACCTTCTCTGATGTCTCAATTAGTTGATCTGCGACAAATAGTTTTACTTCCTCGATGGGTGTCAAAGATACTAAGGTCATAGGTGGAGGATCTTGATTTACAGCTATAATCATATCACTTTCACTAAAACTACTTTTCACCTTTGAGATGTCATCTTGATTAGCTGTTACTGTATCAAATCTATTAGAATCAATATCTATAGGCTTCACCGATTCTTCAATCATTGTCTCACAGCTTTCACAAGGTACAACGATCTCAGATCTCTCATAATCTTCAGTTAAAATTGAAGCTATTGTTTCATTTGGTTCAGCTTGCTCTAGAACAATCGGTTCGTTTTCAAGTACCGCTAGCACTCTTTCCGTTGTGTCAGTCAATTGGTCTGCGATGATTGGTTGCGCTTCTTCCATAAGTATCAAGGATCCTAAGATCATGGGTGGAGAATCTTGACTGACATTATTTTTCACTTCTAATGAAATTTCGTCTTGACCAGCTGTTACCATGTCAGGTTTATCAGAACAAATATCTATAGGTTTAACTGATTCTTCAACCATTATATCACAGCTTTCGCAAGGTACCACGGTATCAGGTCTGTCACATTCTTCAGTTATAATAGTAGCTTGAGTTTCATATGCCACAACTTGCTCCAAAACAATTGGTTCATTTTCAAGAACTGCAACGACCTTCTCTGATGTCTCAGATAGTTGATCTGCGACAAAAGGTTTTACTTCCTCGATAGCTGTCAAAGATATTAGGGTCATAGGTGGAGAATCTTGACTTACAACATTAACCATATCATTTTCACTAAAATTACTTTTGACCTCTGAGATGTCATCTTGATTAGCTGTTACTGTATCAAATGTATTAGAATCAATATCTATAGGCTTCACTGATTCTTCAATCATTGTCTCACAGCTTTCGCAAGGTACCACGGTATCAAGTCTGTCACATTCTTCAGTTAAAATAGTAGCTTGAGTTTCATATGCCACAAATTGCTCCAAAACAATTGGTTCATTTTCAAGAACTGCAACGACCTTCTCTGATGTCTCAGTTAGTTGATCTGCGACAAATGGTTTTACTTCCTCGATGGGTGTCAAAGATACTAAGGCCATAGGTAGAGGATCTTGATTTACAGCAATAATCATATCACTTTCACTAAAACTACTTTTCACCTCTGAGATGTCATCTTGATTAGCTGTTACTGTATCAAATGTATTAGAATCAATATCTATAGGCTTCACCGATTCTTCAATCATTGTCTCACAGCTTTCGCAAGGTACCACGGTATCAGGTCTGTCACAATCTTCAGTTAAAATAGTAGCTTGAGTTTCATATGCCACAACTTGCTCCAAAACAATTGGTTCATTTTCAAGAACTGCAACGACCTTCTCTGATGTCTCAGTTAGTTGATCTGCGACAAATGGTTTTACTTCCTCGATGGGCGTCAAAGATACTAAGGTCATAGGTGGAGGATCTTGATTTACAGCAATAATCATATCACTTTCACCAAAACTACTTTTCACCTCTGAGATATCATCTTGATTAGCTGTTACTGTATCAAATGTATTGAAATCAATCTCTATAGGTTTCATCGATTCTTCAATCATTATCTCACAGCTTTCGCAAGGGACAATGGTCTTAGGTCTCTGGTGATCTTCAGTTGAAATTAAAGCTTTTATGTCAGTTCGTCCAGCCTGTTCTAGAACAATTGGTTCATTTTCAAGCACCGCTAAAATTTTATCTGGTGTATCGATAAGTTCGTCTGCGAGTATCAGTTTAATTTCTTCAATTGGTGTCAAGGAACCCAATATCATGGGAGGAGAATCTTGATTGATACTATTATTTACTTCAAATGACAAGGCATCGTTACCTGCTGTTACTCCGTTAGATTTATCAGAATGAGTCTCTAAAGGTTTTATCGATTCTTCGACCATTATCTCGCAGCTTTCGCAAGGTATCACTGTATCAGGTCTATGAGAATCTTCAGTTAAAATAGTAGCTTGAGTGTCAATGATCCCAGCTTGCTCTAGAGGAATGAGTTCGGTTTCAAGAATGGCTATGTTTTTCTCCGGTATTTCTGTTTTTTGGTCTGCAAAGGTTGGCTTAATTTCGTCAACAGACGACAACGATCTTAAAATCATAGTTGGAGAGTTCTGACTTAATTCTTTTGCCGTATTACCTATACCTGAATTTTCATTTATGATTTCACTTTTAATAGAAACAGTTTCTTCACATTGTACCATACTTTCAGCATCCAATTTTTGAATCGCAGCGTCTTTCGGACCTATTTCTTCAAATGTTACAGACTCGAGGATCAAAGGGTCGAAAAATTCTCTTGCTTCATTGAAAACTAAATTTGATGGTTCGGCAATTATGGAATACGTTTCATCAATCATATTTTTTGATACTTCCGGTTCTATTTCTTGTGTAGGAATAGTTTTCTCTACCACTTTTGATTCAGATTGAACAGCAGCTACAGGATTTTCAAGTTCATTGGAAGCAAGATGTTGTATAATCGTAGGTTCATCTAAACTATAAGTATCTGTCAATGTAATAGTTTCTATTATGTTAATGTTCATGTCTTGTTTTTTGTCATCAATACCTTCCTCGACTTTAATCGGTTCAGATAAAGACTCGAACTTTTCTACGTTTTGTGTAGATTCCGGTGAAATTTGTATGTTATCGTCTATTATACCTTGTGTTTGTTGTTTGGAAGTTACGTCCTCTAATGTCCTTTCGAGGCTTTCAGAGGGTGTGTCTGAAAATATGTAATTACAATTATATTGTCTTTAAATAATTGTGTATTGGACTAGTCAGAGCGAAAGCGTTAATTTTCCAGAATATAGTAACAATAAAATACAAATACCGACCATAAAATTAGCTAACTACAACCTATTTCGAGATATTTAGTTATATAGTTACGTTTTTATTATTGAAGTTTATTTAAAGTTATTTGCCTATACAGAAGATACGGTCACCAATACTATTAGCATATTTGCGTGTACAGCACTAGATTTTGTTATTTTCTTTTATTAGATCTAACTACAACGCCAGTAAATTGTTATTGAAATTATCGTGTATATTTTACCATTCACACCCTGTATAATTTGAGACTCATTGCAAACCCGCTCCGATTCGTTATCATTGGATTCCTGAATGATAGTCCTTGAGTCCTCAATGATAGTTTGTATTACTTTTTCTTCATCAGTTAAATTCAGTTCTTGTTCTTGTCTACTTTCTGATTTAAATGCAAAAGCATCAGTATTTGTTCCACTGCCTCTCACTGGATCTAAGACTTTTACATCATCTGTGGTACTTTTCTCAGCTGTAACCTCAAATATTTGAGTATATAATTGCTTTTCGACATTAATATGACCTAAATTACTGTCAGATTTTTCATTTTTAATATCGAATACTATTTCATCTTTTAAGCTTGTTAAAATTTCGAAACTAGATGTTTTTATAGGTTCGGTACATTCTACGTCGTCAGCTTTGAGTTTTTCATTGGCTTGCTCAATTGATTCTGAAATACGTATTTTAGTTTTATTTACGCTTGTTTGTTATAAATATTACGCTATATTCAAGATTATTGGCAAACAGAATTGCGATTAATGAAATTACCGAAGGTGCTTATAAGTTTTTGGAAGTAATAAAATAGTTTGACTATTTGCCAATAGCCTGTAACTAACTATGGTTTAACTAACATAGATAAAGAAGCAAAAGCATTTAGTTGATTAATTGTAATAATAGTTTGCGCTATATTTAGATTTTGCATTAATTTACCGGAATTAATGATCAAATGCGTATCTTCTTTAATTTGCAACATTTGCATTTCTTCCGGAGACCCTTTCATTGACCCTTCAAGTGGATCATTGTCTACTTCTGGATGAACAGCCGACATGTCAGAAACGAGCAACTTGAGTGTCGTTGGCAAATCTTCATTTAAAACATCGCCGACTACCGGAATCATTATCGTTTTAGCAGATTCTATAAGTAATGTTTCTAATATCTCGCTGCAAGATGCTGTCGCGGTATTTATTTCCACATCGTGTATGTCACTGGTTTGCTCTACTGATGCAGGAACATTGTCAGTGCTATTGTTGATAAATGTGTTAGCATCTGTATTTGACTGATTGAGTAGAATCTGCGACGTTACAGTTTCAGTTGTCTCATATTTGTTTAGGGCTTGAGCATTAGCATCATCATCCTGATGCATTGAGCTTGATAGAAATGCATCGAGTTGACTGGCAAAAGACTCCGCTACATCGAGAATTTTATGTATCGCTTCTTTGCTGACTATTGGATCTGGTTGTTCTACACTCTCTAGTGCTACTAGTTGTAAAGTCAGTAAGGAACTATTTAAGTCTTGAACTAATTGTGCTTGGTTATTGCCTGGCTTTATTTGACTAGTATCTAGACTATTTTGAAGTTCTTGGGCTAATTGTAAGGATTTAGAAAGTTCTGTATTGTTAGACGTCTCTGACAATTTTTTGACTACACTGGCTATTTCATCGGACAAAAATTTATCAATGGTGTGTGTAAGGGTGTCTGTAAAAAATCATAGATTATATTTTTACGGGAATATAAGAATTGGTTCTTAAATATTTATTGTTTTATAGCTACATACTTTTGTTATTCAAGTAAAAAATTATTCTTTTAGTAATACGCGCAAAATTATTGTTAAATTATTTTATGTTTATGTTTAGGCGTATTATATAATATAATATAATTCTAAAGTTTTGTTGAATACATCTTTCTCTTTATTATTCTAGAATTTAGTTATAACATGAAGCTTTTCTACCTTGATAAAATATGTTTAATTAATATTCGACATTTAACTACGATACAATAGGTAAATATTGTAATTTGATTGTGTTGTATTCGTGTTTTGGTTATAAAGTGTTAATGTGATTAACTTTTGATTAATTAAATCGAAATATTTACATGACAACTGCTATGAGCATGTAGCATTAGTGTGTTTTTGTAATGAAGCAAAATGCTAGAAATGAAATGTGTGGAAATGTGTAATTCTAGCTAAAGAGTAAAAATATAAATATTTTTGTAAACATTTTTAACAAAAAAGTATTTATTATATTGGTATCAAAAGAATACCAGACATAGTTATTGAAAAAATATCAATACAATGGATTTAAAAATAAAGTTCAGCTTGTTGAAGAACACGTTGTACAAATATTTTTTCTATCAAATAATTTAACAAATATTTGAAAAAATATTCAAATGAAAGGCACACGGATGAATCATAAAGTAAATACCTAAATAAAATTCCCGATCGATTTCGATCATGGTGGCAAATCTTACTGGACTAGCCTACTACGCGGGAGATGTTATAGTGCACAAGTGTGTGGGTGCACAACATGCATTCTCTGTTCCTTCTCTCTCTGAACCACATGGGATAGAGGAATCATATCAAAACGGCAGGTAAACGTACTTTCAAATGAATGGGTTATGTATTGCAGTCATTACTCTGTATGAATGTATAAAATAAACTCTCGGTATAAATTTCAAATTTCCATCGTTGAAATTAAAAAAACAACTTTACCCCACACTACGATTTTGTTCTTTGCCGTGAATATACAAAATTCAGATACAGTGTTTTCAAAAAATAATACAGTGATATGAACACTGTATCAACGCTAGTTATTAGTCATTAAAGTGTTTAATGATTAATTATTTCAAAGATGAATTGGTACTAAAAATACTAAAAATACTTGTATGTTATTTCTATTTATAGTCAACAGCTATTAAATGTTACCTGCACAGTATGAAATATATTTCATTTCTAGTAAACTAGAAATTGTTTAATTTTAACCAAACGATATTTGACGCCGTTTATTTGAGAAACGTCTGGAAAATAGACAAATCTCAATACGACTATTGGGAAGCCTATTTTAGAATTTTGATATAAATTCTAAATCCAGATTAGATTAACAGTAGAAATAGACTTTATTTGATTCATTAACACTTCCACTAACTTATTTCCAGTGCAGAAAAGGCATAATAGTTTTCACTAGTTCACTATTAGTCTAAAATCTATCATCAATGCATTTATATTATTCATAAAAACATGTTCATGTTTGAAGCCATTAAAATGAATGAACAAATCAACTTGATTCCATACTGCGCTATTTTGAGTTTGGCGTAACAAAAGCTTTTCTACGAAATTAAACAAAGTGTTAATATTAGCGTTATAATATTTATTAAATTACCGAGAGCAATCATTGTTGGTTGTTGTTCAGCTTCCCTTTGAAGTAATTTTGAGGTTGTATCACTGATTGCGATTGTATCTTCAGCATCCGTTGACTGGGGTTTTTCAGATTTAGTAACTTCTTTGTCTACGATAGATTTGCTTTCAGGAGTTTCTACTACTACTTCAGGACCTTCTTTTACTTGTTGATTTTGAGGTGTTTGTGTTATAACTTTCTCTAATTCTTCTACCTCTGATTGTTTCACTTTTGCAGGATTTTCTGAGGCCTGTACACCCTCGATAATCAGGGATTCTATCTGCTCAGGTTTGGCATCCATAGTGTCTTGTTCAACTATTTCTGCAGGTGGGGCTGGGATTGTAGCTGTTGTTGAAATATCTTTGATAACTTCTCCTTGCTTAAGTTCCGAAACAGCCTCATTTGTTACTGGTATTTCATCAGTAACTGGAATTACGTCTGATGTTTGTTTTTCAGCATACTTGGCCTCAGAACCTGATAATTGTCCGATAGTTTCTAGTGTTCCATCAATTAGTTGCTGCTGAGTCTCTTGCGCAATCTCTATTTTAGGAGACTGCGTATTCTCATTAGTCAGATTATCTATCGTTTTTGGTTTGATACTATCCATTTCTTGCTGTAATATTTTTTGTTCTTCGATTTCAGACATCTTACTTTCTTCTACAGGTTGAGTCACATTTGTATCAGATGACAAAGGTTTGTCTAATTCAGTTTGTTCTTCAACCAGTACGGTTCAGAATCTGGTGATTGTTTGTTAGCCTCAGGTACTGGACTTTCATCAGTCAGTTGCTGTTGGGATTCTAGTACAACTTCTTTACCAAACTCTTCTAACCTGTTGCTTTATTTCTATGGTTGTTTCAGAAATCTGCGTGCTTTCATTAGCCAGACTATCTGTCGTTTCTGTTTTATACGTTCAATTTCTTGTTCCATCGGTTTTTGTTTTTCAATTTGAGATTCGTTATTTTCTATTGCAGGTTGACCCAGAACTGTGTCAGATGATAAAGGTTTGTCTAAGTCAATTGGTTCTTCAGCCAATTTGGTGTCGGGTGTAGGTAGTTGTTCATTAGGCTTAGTTTCTTGATTATCATCAGTCAGTTGTGGTTTAGCTTCTATTCCAATTTCTTTGTTAATCTCTTCTAGCCCTGCTTTAGTTTCAGTAATAAGTTCACTTTCAATAGACAGTACTTCTGTATTTTCTGGTTTAATTTCTTCTCCTACTAATTTTTGTTCTAAAAGCTCCATGTCAGTTGTAAGTTTTTGATCTTCGGTGTTCACTACTTCCGACAATATTTCAATAACGTCTGTAGGTTGAGCCAGTGCTGTATTAGTTGTAGAAGTTTTAACAATGTCTTCTTGACTATTTATTACTGCCTGTGTTACTCCAGGCTCTGCCTCAGAAATTAGTGTTTCCTCGAGCATTGATTCAGAGACTAGTGTTTGAGGCTTAGTTTCTTCTACTATTTTATGACATTCATCGACTGGCCCTTGATCAACAACTTCAGTTTTAATTGGTTCTGCTGGCAATGGTTCAGGTAATTCAGGTTGTTGGTCTAGTAAATCCACCGTCTTTTCTGTTAACGTAACCACGTTTTCCTCCCCTGAAACCTGTGACTGTACTATATCTGAGCTTGTAATAGAATCGAGAATTTCTTCCGGATTTGAAACTGTTTCACTTACCGTTGCCGTTTCTTTAGCTATAGAATCATTTTGAGGTTCCTGCGCTTCGCAGACTACTTCTACAGCTGTCTTTACTTCTGTCACAGGCTCAACTTGTGCTGTTTCTGTTATTTTAGCAGTTTCACCAATTGTTTTCGAAATTGTGTCACTCGCAATTTGTTTATCTTCAGCATCAGTTGAAGAAGTTTATCGATGTCAGTCTGTTCTAAAATTTTTGATGTTTCGATCGCAGAAGCTGGTATTGCTTCAGTTGATTCGCTTTTTTCTACGATTTTTGAAGAGTCATCAGGCTGTTTGTGTGACATTTTTGTACTATCAGCTTTTTCTTCTTTTTGTTTGGTTTCTTCTATTGATTCAGAAGGCTTAGACATATCAATAATGTATTGTTCAAGCTTTTCTGGTTCACTAATTTGTTCTATGGGACCTTTTGCTTCTTTGACTACTTGTTCCGTAATAGAATCAATTAATTTATTGTCTTCTATAGAAGGTTGTGCTTCGCCAATCTCTTTTCGTTCATTAGTTATTTCTTGCTGCAAAACTGCCTCATCAACGTGTTCTTTGTTTATTTGTATTGTCTTATCTTCTTCGGCGCAAACCGTGTTCCTAATACCTACCGTGACAAATTGTTCTGGTAATGTAACGTTACTTAAAACTTCAGCTGGTTTCTCTTCCTCGTTAGTAATAACAACAACCTGTTCTGTGGCTTCTGGAATTCCGATTTCAGTAGCGTTTTCAGCTTGGGTTGATGTAGAATTTTCCGTGTTAATGTTAATTACCTTCGGTATGAGACCAGATTTATCTTCTATCGATTTGGTTTCATTTATCATAACAGATAGTTCAGATAGTTCTTTAGAAATTTCACCTTTTTGCATTAGTTTATCATGTATCACTTCAATATGCTCAGTAACCCCTGATTCTGAATCTTTAGACTGTTCCTCATTTGCGTTAGAATGTAATATTATAGATTTATCAATAGACTCAGCTTCTTTTAATGTCTGTTGACTTTCTTCCACTGATTCATTAAGTATATCAGTAATTTTCGCATCAGTCTGAACTTCAACTTCTCCAGCATTTTTCAATTGTTCTTCAGGTACAACACTTTCTAAACTTTTATCTTGTTTGGATATATCCTTTTCATTAGCAGTAGCTGTATTTGCAACTGTAGTCTCTTCAACTATAACGTGATCTTCTGAAGAATATTGTTGTTTAGGAACTTGAGAGATAACAACTGCAATTGCTGATGCTAAGTCAGTGCCAGAAGCAATAACTCGTTCTAACTTATCTTTTTCCACTACCAGACTTAGCTCATTGGTAGCGTCTAAAGAAATTACTTGCACTACAGATAGAGCGTTTTGAAGTTTGAGAAGATTATCTATATTATCTGAAGTAATGTTTTCGTTGATTTTTTCAATATTTTCACGTAAATCACACGCGACATCTACCGATTGTTTTAACTCGTCAACAGTCACGATTGCAGATATTTGATCGATAGTTTTAATGTTTTCGTCTGAGAGGAATTCATTGATGTTTTGTAACAGTGTTTCTGAAAATATGTAATATCATGTAACGCCAAAATTAATATTTGGATTCGTGTTAGTGTAGAAATAGAAAGTTTTATAAGAGAAGAGGTTCAAATTTTACCTTACTGCTAGTTTTATACTTCAATTTCCATCTTTCTCAATACAACATAAGTTTAAACTTATTTAAGAACAATATCATTGTTTAAAGCAACTTCAAAATCTGTAAGATGTAGCATTTAACGTACACATACAGATTCAGATATAAAATAGAGTAAAAGTTACTGTATAGACAGAAAAAATGTTATACTCATTAAATTCATAACACAAAAAGATATAGAATCTTAGTTGAATATAAAAAGTGGTTTATTTGTAATAGTATAGTAATAAATGGATATTTGCGTTTCAAAGAAAGGGAAACATTTAGTATATTTAAATTAATATTATAAGAATTACCTGTAGTGACTTTTTCGAGAGGTTCTTCCATTATTATTGCTGCCTGTTCTACCGAAACAGCTTTAACTTCACTTGGTACTGCTTTTTCAAAGATAGGTTCCCCATCTGTAACAGCCATTGCTTTATCGAGTTCATTAATTTCGTTAGGCGCGGCAATTTCGGTATTATCTCCTTTTCCCTTTTCTTGTATGCCAGTTTCCTGAATTAATTGCTGTCCTTCAGCAATTGCAGCTTTGTCTTCAATCAAAATGAATTCTGCAGCAACTTCACTGGATGCAGTTAGAACTTCTTTCTCAATAGAAGTTACTTCACCAGCTTCAAACTCAGGAACCTCAACTTGAGCGACATTGGTGTTACTTTGATCAGGTTTCGCGTCTCTAGTTTGATCAAGAATGTATTGAGTGGCAGTTACTGCCACCAGGTCAGCTCGAAGATTTTCAGTGATTGCGGTTACACGTTGCAACGCATCTTTGTTGATTAAAGTGCCTTCAGCTGCAGTTTCTAATGATATATTTTCAAGTGCCGACAGAGCTTCATATAGTTTTTGAGCTAGATTTGCATACTGTGTACTAACTTCATCCTTTAGAACATCACTTGTTTCTGCTTTTAATTCGACTTCAGAAGCAATGATATTCTCACGCAGTTCTTTAGCAATACCAATTGATTGTTTCAATTCTTCAACATCAATGACGTTCGATAGCTCATTTATCACTTCTGTTAAATCATCAGATATAAATTGATCTATATGCTGAACTAACATTTCTGGAAAGAATTAGAATTTATTAGCAGTGAATTATTAATTGTTGTTATATGAATATGCTAAATCACAAACAAATATATGTTACCTATGGTTGCCTTAGGAGCTTCGTGTATCTCTGCTGTTTGAGTTGGCCCATCATCAGCTAGCTTATTCTCGTCAACTTCATGCAGCTCTGGTCCAAGATCTTCTACGACGACGGCACTCACGGACTCCGTTTTCAACGGCTCAGTAATTGTTACTTCTTGAACTTGATCTGCTTCAGATACATTTAACTTTGCATCTTCTTTGGGAACTTCTTTCACTGCAACGGATTCAGTTTGTTCAATAACTACAGCTTCTATGCCTTCAACAGCTAGAGTTTGTTCGGTTTCAGGAACAATATTCGCAGTTACTGTTTCCACTGATATGGGTTTAACTTCTTCTGAGGTGACAACTTCCTTAGTCTCAGCAATTGTCTTAACCAACGTTTCTGTAGTTACAACTAATTGCTCTGAGGATGATAATTGGTCAACTACTCCGGTTTGTTCTAGAATAGTTGACTCGGATCCCGCAGCTGCTGTTGCTAATTCTGAGGTGGCATCGGCAGAGTGGGCTTCCACAGATTCAATGGCTTTAACACTTTCATCTATAGATTCATGAGGTGCTTGTACTGCTACTCGGATACCAGTAACAGCGACTAAGTCTGCTTGTAATTGAGCAGTAACTTGAGCAATCCGCTGCAAAACTTCTGTACTAAGTTCAGGTGCTAATTCTTGAACACGTTCAAAGACTTGAACTTGTAATGCAGACAGTGCTGTTTGAAGTTTCTTCGCTAACTTATTTTGTTCTTGACGAACTTCTGTAATTTTTTCATGGCTTATCTCTCCTTCCGCAATCATTTCCGATGTTACAATACTTTCCCGAAGCTCTTTGGCAATATTCTTGGTTTCTTTTATGTCATCAATTTTAATGATAGCTGATATTTCTTCGACTATTTCGATCAACTCTATATATTGATCAATATGCTGAATAATTTGTTTAGCTTTTTCTGAAAATTAAATATTCATAAGTTATTTTGAGATTGCAATAATGAAAATTAAAATGTGAAGCATTTTAAAATTAACTCAAATCTTTGAAGGTTAAAGGACCTTATTTTGCATACATGAAGATTAAGTTACTATATTGGTATAAATGATTTGTTGAAAATGTCTGGCTGTCGTTGTGACATGAAATGTTATTTAAACCAATTGTAAATAAAACTTTTGTTTAGGACACTTAAAATACTCTCGTTTTCGCGTAACGGTAGCGTTTGTACAAAGCTTTGATTAAAATTTCACCAAGCCAGATTATTGACATCCACTCAAATTTACCTTCTTTTATTTCTTTATTTTCCAAAATATCAATTTTCTCCAACTCGACCAAGAGCTGATAAGCCGCAAGAAATACTTGCTTCATGTTTTCAATTTCAAATTGATTCTTTCCAATGAACATATCGGTACTTTGCCAATCGTATTTCGACATAATAGCTTTAAGAGAGTTTATTTTTTTGTTTTTTATTTCGATTATTTTTGGGGAGGCCAATTCTTCTTGGTTAAGTGCCAATAGTCCTTGTAGTTCAGATGCAATTGTTAAACTTTCATTTAAATCGGCATCAGAGAACGTACCAGATGCGACCAATAAATCCATTTCGATATTTATGAAACGGTCTATTGCTCTTTCCAAAGAATCAATATTCGAATTGACATCTATAAAAAATTTTGATAATAACTTTCAATAAGAACTACATCCTTCGAGTATGTAAATTATAAAAAAAAACATAAAGCACTAGAATTGTCTTTAATTCACTGATCAGTGATTGTGTGGACTCGCTGTACCACATGTTTAACGTAGCAAGAGACCAAGTAAAACGCTACTTAATTTTAAGTTGCACAAAGGTACCTTTACCACCTATGTCATTTTAAAAGAATTTGTAGTGAACACAACTATATTTATGCGAGACTTAAAATTGAGGAGCCTTTCAGTATTTGGGCGTAACAAGTATTCCAAAAATACATGAAATAAGTATTTTATAAAGAAAGTAAATTATAATATTACCTGTGGGAAGTTTATCTCACTGCAAACGTTGGCTTTGTCTGAACTCAAAATAACATGCATAGACTTTTCAATATCTTCCACAGGCTTTGTAATTTCTTTTACAACCTGTGCAACATGGACGCCTTCAATGGATCGCAGGCTGTCATTTATAGAGTGTATCTCTTTGTCTACTTCCATGATTAAGGCTATCTCTTCATTGGCAATGGCTTCCTCCGTTTCCATCCTCTCCATCATTTCTTTGTGTTTTTCTGTCATAGTTTGAACCAGAGACTCTGTAGTCGTAATGTCGACTGATATCGAGTCTTCGTCAACACCTTTAAGTACTTGTTCTTGAACATTTGTTAATTGATTATGTAGCGCTTGGAGTGGCTCCAACATTTCTGTCAAAACTGCTTTCAGAGGACCTTCCTCTAATTTGTGTTTTGGTATTTTAACTTCTAACAAACCTTCGTGTAAAATATCCGTACAGTCAGATAAACATTTGAGTAATATCAATGCTTTGCCAGTACCACTTGCATCTTTATAGTCATTGTGTTTCTCGATACAATTTGAAACTTTATCAAGTATCTCTTTAGTAATGAGATCTTTATTATCCTTTTTCAGCACTTCTACGTGCGTTGCAAATTCTTCAATCATATTAGGTAAAGTATTATCTTCAACCCATCAGTTTTTGGGCGTCTGATTTCATCGAGAATGTCAGCTTGTACAAATTGTAAAGATGGTTTAGCTGTCTCTAATATTTCAACAAACTTGTTTACAGTTTCAATAATTTGCTCATCATGATTTGTTTCTTTTACTGCTTGTAGTATTAGAGCAGAATTCTCAAACTTAGACAAAGGCGCTTCGATCAAAAGGCTTGATTGAGATTTGACGATTTTTTCAAGACAAGTTCGTACATTTTGCAAGTAATCTTCAGCGTGGATAAGGAATGTAGCCAAGCATCCATTGACATCATCAGTCAAGTTTAATTCAGATTTTTTTATTTTAAAGTCATTAATTGTAGATTGCAAAGAGTTGAATTGTTGTAGCAATCTAATTATCTTTTTGTGAGATGTAGCTTTAGATATAAGACAGCGCATGATGGTAAATTCACTTTTACAGGTTTTATAGAAATCTTCTACAATCATTGGTCAGCAATTGGCATATCTTGCGTAGAATCTTGCACAACGTTTACAGCACTGTCTACTATATCTTCCATTAGCATTAAGGAGTCAGATTCAATTTCAGCTGCCATTTGTGGAGAAGTGCAAGTCAAGTCTGATACACGAGAAAGGTCCACAAAATCATACTGTTCCAATACTGCGATATTGTTTTGGACTTCATCAATGGTTTGTATTAATTTTGCTTCTTGAGCAACCTTTTCTGGAGCTTGTGGAGTAAATTGAATAAGTTCCTCTTGCACTGCGCCCACTTTTTCGTATAATTCTTCTGTAATACACTTAACTTGATCAATTTTGATTCCTTTGAAACATCAGTAGCATCTAATAAACTTTCAACTGTTCGTTCCAAAGCTTTGACCTCTTCTGGGACAGCCGTTCGCTCATCGGCTTTGGTAGTTTCAATAATGTCTTTTAAATGCTCACAAACTTCCCTCAATGCACCGACTTTATTTGCTATTTCGACAGTACTATCAGCAGTATGCATAGCAGGGAACATAGCGAGCATACACTTATCTAAATGCTCTTTAAATTCAGATACGTTCTGAATCACGGAATGTATTCTTTCCGTCGGCATTTCTAGTAAATTTTCATAAATTGGAATGTTACTTGTGTCTAACACCGACAAACTTTGCTGTAGCTCCTGCATTGGTTCAGCAATAGCCATGAGTTTTGAAGGATTTATTAAATTAGTTATCTCATTAGATCCTTCCATAAGAAGGGGATGTAATACTTCTTCAATTCCAGAGTGAAGTTCACCTAAACCTATAACAAATGATTTCAAGCTAGAATAATCACTAACTTCAGATAACGTGTCCAGAGCATCAATAATTTCTGGGTTTTGTAAAACAGTGATGTGTTCATTCAACGTTTGTAATGCTTGAGCTGTAGCCGTTGTTTGCAATTCTTGATTAAATGGCAGAATTGTCTGTCCCACAGCGGTCTCCTCGGTAGCTGGTAGAATCAACCGATCAGATGCAATAGTTTCTGCAGTTGTCTTTATTCCTGATATATCTTCTAGAGTGGACATTTCATCTACCGCTTCTACACCCGCTTGTTCTTGTATCATCACAATACAACTTTGCAGATTTTGAACTGCGCTAGCCATGTTGACACTGATGTCATACGGTACAACATCTTCACCGTATTGAAAAATTACATCCTGCTGCAATATTTCTAAAGTTGTATGTAATTCGTGAAGAGGTTCAGCGATTGTACTAACAATTTCATAGTTTTGCTTAAGATTTTCAATATTTTCAATTATTTGTTGATTTAGAACAATAAGGTTTTGATTTAATTCACAAAGTGGTGTAGCAAAAGTTTGGGCAAACGATGAAATATCTGAAATATGTTCTTCATCTACTCCATTAGCTTTAGTAGAGGCAACACTTCGTTTAAGTTCTTCTAAAACGGGACAAATGCTTTCCAATGTGGGAGCAATGCTTGTCTTTAAGTCTTGAGTCGACTCTATTGCCTTTATATTTTCAATGGCTGCTATTGCATGATCGATATGTTCGATAACAACTTTAGCTTTGGTTTCATCGTATTTATGAGAAGCAATATCTTGAACGTGTTCCGAATCAATTTGTACACTAGTTTCTTCAGCTGTATTTATACATTCTTGAATTCCAACTAATGTATCAGCAATGTTTGTAAGAAGAGCACAATTGAGCTCAGAATCAAATACGTTTATGATGAATTGATCTTGGATTATTCTTAAGGTATTGTTAAGGCTAGCCAAAGGCAAAACATTATCAGCATCAAGATTCTTAATAGAAGCATTAATTCTGTTGACAGCATCACAGATTTCCATGAGAGTGAAGTATTTTTTAGATTCGTTACTTTCTATTACATTTTCTAATACTTTGGTTAAGTTTTTATGGAACACAGTCATATGGTTCTTAACTTCTGGTATGGATTCCAGTTTCGGTAGATTGTTTTCTAATGCGATAAGAATTTGCGCCATTTTTTGTAATGCATCTAACTTGTTTTCACTTTGTAAAATATCAAAAGTGCCTACTTTGTTTTCAACAACTTCTATTTGAGATGATATTTTATTGAGATTCTCTGTTATTGATGCCACTGCTTGTTTCAGAACGGCTTCATCTTCGCCTTCGGATTCCGTGGATAGTTGTTCAAAAGAACTTCTCAATTTAACAATAGATTCCATGACTGTTTCAATAATTTCAGTATTGTATTTATGTAAGGACGTAGTTGATTCTTTTACTGATAGTGTTTCGATTTGCTCCAAAGCTGTTTGCAGATCTTGTATAGATGCAGACATATCATTGAGTATCACTTCGCTATTACGAACTTTAGCAATATCTACAATTTTACCACTATTAGCACTTTCAGCTATGCAGAGAAGAGACATAAGAGGACTTTTTAGTTCAAATACCGCTTTTTGCGTATCTCTGAGATGTTTCACTTCTTGAGAAGGTTCATCGACTTTTATTTCACTGGCTTCGCTTAACAAGTTGCGAGCTTTTATTGTGTCCGACGAGAATTTAATAACAGTATTCATTTCGTTATTCAATGATTCAATTTCTGTTAGAATTTTGTCTTCAGTTAATAGGTAATCTGTAGCAGTTACAGAATTGATATCTGATATCAATTTTTGCACTTCACAGCCACAAGTTTCAATAAATGCGACACAAGTTTTTTTGACAAGAGTTTTACTGTCACTTTCCATATCTATGCATTTTTCAATGATGGTCAGTGATTGCTGGAGAGCTTTGAGTGGCTGGGGCAAGCTATTGAATAATGTACTGCTGACTTCCTTAGACTCTGAAACTGACTCTTTAGCAGCATCTGTGATACTATGTATTTCCGACAAGGGGGATATTAGACTACTAATAATTTCTAAACTTCTAGAAGCAGTTGCAGCTGACGACATGAGTTCTGATTTAAGTATTATATCTCTTTCAATTATTTGAACATCATTTATTACTTTTGACAATGAGGCACTAATGTTCATCATTTTGTTTTTAAATTCTTCATCAGTTAATTTAGGTTTCGTTGGGACTTCAATTTCTATGGATTCTTTCTTTCTTAGAGCTTCGTCTCTTGATTTACTTACAGACTTCTCGCTGCCCGAGCTAGATCTCCTGGAGCTACGGCTCGTGCGTCGCTCTCTTTTAGATTTTACAACAGGTGACGGTTCAGCATCCAAAGAGTGTTTTATAGCTTCGTCCTTAAGTAGAATAGTTTTCGTTGGTTCTGAGGATTCTTGACCATCTTCTCCAGAAGGTTTTGATGATTTTGATTTTGGTTTGCCAGAACTGTGTGCACTAGCAAAGCTTTGTAGATCAGATATTGCTTGAGTATCATCATCTTTCTTATCTTCTGACAATGATTGGTCACGAGACAAGCTGAAGAAGTCATCAGCGCTTCTTTGTGAATCTGACTTTTTTCTTCCGAATTTAAGAGATAAATCTGACTTTTCTTCTGAGAGTAATGCCATTGTTTTTTCCAAATAATCCTCTCCACCAATTTCTATATCTTGATCGAGTGATAGTTGAGGAGGGCCGTTTTCATCTGCTATCGAAATATCATCGATATCAGCTTCTGTACGCATATCTTCATCAGGAGACACAAAATATTCTGGAGAAACATCAATAATCACCGCTTCCATTAATAAATTACCAGATGTAGACGTTTCTTTCACAAATCGTAATGGAGGAAGTTCAACTACATTATGTTCAGTAATATTTTCTGATAGTTGATCTGCGTACATTTCTACAATTTGTAAGGCTTCTTCTTCTGTCAAATCAGGAGTTTCATAAAGAGAAACAGACACTTCTTTGCCATCAAATGAGAAAGAAATTTCTCCTTTGTCGTCGAGAGTGGTGACGTCACCAACGGGCGTATCATACATTTGTGAGGTTCTTTCTTCGTGAATTGTACTAAGAGACAAGTTCCTTTGTAAGGCTTGTTCTTCTGCTTTCTTCTTTTTAGCTTTCATCGAATCATCAAATCCTAAAAGTGAGGCAGAACTAGCGGCAATGCCCATACAATTCTGCGCTTCACAAGTATAAGTTCCCAGGCAACAAGTGCCGTCTTGTCCTGATATAATTCTGTGAATATCACCAGGTTTTAGTTCCTCACCATCTTTGTACCATTTAAGGACAGGTTGTGGGACACCGATGACCTTACATTCAAGGTTCACCGCACCTTCATCAGATAGGATGGCTTGAAGATTCTCTAAGAATCTTGGTTTCTTATAATGTCTAGGTATGATCAATTTAAGGAAACATGAGGTGACGCTGTGTCCAAAATCGTTCATGGCCACACATTTCCACTCGGCTTGGTCGAGGAATTCGAGACTTTGGATGTCCAGGTAGAACACCCCACGGTCTTCCCGGCCGTGGTGGCAGCGAGATGACTCGTCCACCGGCTGGTCGTCTCGGTACCAAAGTACCGACGGTTCAGGCGGAATGGCGACTGAAACAAATCATTATTTATTATTTCCATTTCTCATTGAGTAATAAGCAAACCAAACCAATAGTAACAAACCTCACCTTTAACTGTAAAACGGAATGGCTCATCAATTTTCGCTTCAACGCTCTTCAACCCCTGAATGAACTTTGGAGCCTGGTTCTTGGAGAATAGTTGTAGCTTCTCTTCTTCATTTAGCTGGTTCTGAATGTCCTCCACGGTTAGTTCAGCAGAGCTACTGGCTTGTCCCATGCAGTTCCTCGCAATACAGCAGTAGGATCCTAAGGAGTTGGTGCCTGTGAGTTGGTATACATCTCCTGGCTTTAACTCTTGACCATCCTTGAACCAGCTTAGCACTGGAGTGGGGAAGCCCACAACTTTACATTCGAAGGACACGAGGCCTTCTTCTGTCAGCACTGCTTGTAAGTTCTCCATGAATCTTGGCTTTCGATAATTTTTGGGCACTGTAAAGTAAAGATGTTGAATTAAAGATCAATAACATACCAAAATAAAGTTTTATAATATAAATATCTATCTAAATATATACAACTCAAAGGTGGACTAACTGAAATAGTGATATATCACAGTACATCCCAAACCACAGGACGGATCGGGTTGAAATTTGGCATGCAAGTATATGTTATGACGTAGGCATCCGTAAAGAAAGGAATTTAATTCCACCCCCAAGGGGATAAAATAGAGGTATTATTAAACTTTGTCAATTTTAAACCGATCGAGCATAGCCTTCGCATGCATAATGCTACTATGACGTCTATATCTCCTAAGAAAGGATTTTGACAAACTCCACCACCAAAGGGATAAAATAGGGGATGAAAGTTTGTATAAATCTTCTTAGATTATCGACTGATTAAACTGAAATTAAAGGTTGGAGCTATTATGATGAACTGATGCCGCTTAGATAGCATTTTGATAAATTCAACCCCATAGAGATAAAATAAGTGATGATAGAATGTTAATGAAGACATACAAAAAAAACAACAAGGTCGTTAACAACCCGGAATTCTTTATCTTCTAAACTACTAAATTGATTCAAATAAAATTTTGTGCAAACATGGTTTGATATTCGAGGAACGACGTAGACTTTTGTTACGGAAATCCTACGCGAACTATTCGTTAAAATCTAAACTCTCTATTTTGAACCATGGAATCTATTTGAGTTAAATTCGGCAAAACGATTTTTGGTAAACAACGAGTTTCAGACTCGAGTAACGTCAAATATATGATGGTTTTTATCCCGGATAACCCACGGGAACAAGATAGATGCGTTACAGCCCCGGGCCTCTCTATCTCTTGACTTATTTTAGAGAGATTGTACACAACAATAGTCGATAGAATAGTTTTTATCAATAAAACTTCTGCAGAATTATTATTTTTTTGAAACGACAATAATTAATTCATTTCGCAATAATTCTCACTTAGGCACTGAATCGCTTTTGGTGTCGGTTGTTGCCGTCACGGAACATAGAATTATTCTATATTCCGTGGTTGCCTTAGAATATAGCTTGGAAAAAACAGAGTCAAAGACCCAAATGCTGCAGCATGAGCAGAAGTCATTCAGTCATCATTCTACGCGGATGAAGTCGCGGGCAACAGTTTACACACTTCTCACTAACTTGTAGTCTATCACAATTACAATATACGCATTCTGTATTGTATTGTTATTATACGCAATCAGTTAATTCACAAAAGAACACGATGTTATATAACGTAGTGTAAATGGTTTTACCATCCATGGTAACATAGCAGGTGGAGATCCCGATGCGACCACCAGAGCTGGTGGCCACGCACTTCCATTCTCCCTCGTCCGGCCATTCAGCACTCGGCACTTCCAACAGATACCCGCCAGCGCCATCTTCTAACACATGGTACCTGAAAAAACAGAAAAGAACATTAGACACTATTTATTATACTCTTTGATTATACATTTATCATCAATGTCAATAGATGCTAAACATTTTGAATGACATTGACCACTTCATTCAGAAAGGTTCATTAAAAAGTTTGAATTACAATGCCCGTTCCTTAAAATAGCATCAAGGAACATATTATTTGTAAGGCCTGCAATTCCCCATATAGATATGCCGTGAAATATGGGGGCGAGTATAACCACCATGCACCGGCCAACCTCCACTGAAATAATTCGGAAAATTAAAAAAAAATAAGTTAAGTGAACTTTTAAGAGTGGGAGAGCCATGCTTCTGCACGAATAGGCCGTCTTGACTGGAGTTATACTATGGGTTCACAGAAAACCGACGTAAAACACCGCTTGCGTTGAGTTTCGACGTAAAACAACGGTGAAGTGTGCAGTTTCAGAAAGTATTTTTTGAAAATGGTCGTAGAGTTACGTCGAGATTTGTTATCGCAGTGGACAAAGAACTGCGGAGTAAGTTCACTCGGAGAAGTTGGCTTATGAAAGAACCTATAATAATTAGCACTAATGGTCCAAGGATGTGTGGCAAAATAAGGAGTTGCACGGACGCTATTATCGGGCCCTACATGGACCAAATACAGATTTCTTGGCGTCGTTTGGCTACGTTTCAGTAACTTATTTGGAGAAACGGAAGGTTTTGTCTGTGCAATTATGGACAATGCAATTAAGTTATGTTGATGAATAATTACCGAAAACATATTATAAAGCAAGGTAATGTTGACATTTGTCGAGCATGTCAACGTCTCGAAGCATCCATTTGTCATATAATTTCAGGTTGTTCTCATCTAGCTAATGGTGAATACTTGCATAGACACAATCTTGTAGCCAGGAATATTCACCAGCATCTTGCTTTGAAATACAAACTTATTGAATCTGAAGCGCCATGTTATAGGTATCTGCCTGACCCAGTTCTGGGAAATGGAGATATCACAGTGCATTAAGATCGAACCATTATTATGAGAGACAGTACAACAGGGGTGATGACAGGGTATGAAAATCAAAAATCTAATTAATCCATAAGTTAGGTAATGAAAAAATATTAGACACGTAATTTTTTATTTTGTCGTATAACAAAACAATATTTACATAAAACGAATCAAAGTTTAGGAGTGGGGACTAAAACGTCATTTCTACGTATAAAATGTACATAGAAGTGACGTCACGCGACATTTCAAATCAATATATCGTAGAAAGTATTCGTTTCTGTAAGAAATTTAAAAAATCGTGTCAATGATGTAAAATAATCTACCAGACGGACATTAAAATAAAAATTAGGCATCTACCCTATTGTTTCTAACAAACCGGACTGTACCTTTTTTCCATTATCTACAATAATTTTACACTAACCGGAGACTGTCCTTGGGTGCATTGCTAGTGCATACAGTGATAGGCGCCGGTTTGTTTCCCATTCCATTTAGATTAGAGCCGTATAAAGGGCACATGCGGATTGGCTTCAGCCCCTCGTACGACTCTCAAATGGCTGGCCCCTGTGGTCCCGTAAGTGGTAAAGATATACATTATAACAATAACATATACTTTACGCAAATCTAGCCTAAGACCTCATCTATCTTATCAGTTATGCTTAGTATCACTCAGATATTCCACCAGTAATGCAGTCAATACTATTTAGGTATCTAACCAACTGACCCATTTCTGATACAACATAATACAGGGAGAATACCATCCTACTAATAGTATAAATTCAAAGCCTACCACCAAACTATAAATTCGAAGCTTACGACCGAAGAAAACTGTTTATTAAATCTTCTTGTAATAATGGCTGAAGCGATCGAGATGATATTTTCTAACAGGGGTAGATTATGGTGTCATCAACAGCCTATAAATGCCCACTGCTGAGCAAAGCCTCTTCTCACACGGAGAAGGTTAGAGCATTAATCACCACGCTTGCTCAATGCGGGTTGGCGATTTCAAACTTATAATTAGAAATTATAAGTCCAGGTTTCCTCACGATGATTTTCCTTCACCGTTTGTCAGTGGTGTCTAAATAATCTTAGAAAGTACATATAACTCGAAAAAGTCACATTGGTACTTGCCGTTGGTACGTTTCGAACCCGCACCCTCATGCATGAGAAGTGGGCGTCTTAAACCTCCAGGCCACCACGACGATTATGGTGTGCAATAACACATATTGGAAATACGAACTACACCTAAAATAAATTGACAAGGTGCTGCTCCACAATCTTTTGTTAAAGGCATCCTGGATCCAGATTCCTCTTTAATTTTCCTAATCAATAGTGTCTGAGTATGTGTATACGGAATTTGATTACACATTCCATGTGATCACCGGTGTCGTTTTTAAAACGAAAATCTGAACGGTGTAGACAGATCGTACAGGTGTGCAGACAATGGTTAAGTGAGGGTATAGTTTTGGAAGATTATTTTTTGTCACTATTTACTGAATATTGTTTGTTATAATATTATGTTGTTGTTAATCATCGATTGAAAATCCATAATTTACCTAGAAATAAACAAATTAAAATTGACACTTATAACTCCGTTTTTATGCCTTTTGCAAAAATCAAAATGCGTTTAAACCAACTTCAAAAAACCAAAAACTAATAACAATCAAAAATTAAAAACTAAAAAGCAACACATAACTGTTATTAGTACTGATAGGTTACCCACTCACTGATAGGTTTGAGGTCGGTGCTATAAGTTCTCAGCAAAATTATTCATTACCATAATAGGTACCTAATATCAATCTGCTTACAATTTTGTAACCATTAAGTTATATCATTATAATATAAGCTTATGACACTGACTTCTAACCTATCAGTGGATGGGTAACCTATCAGTACTAGTAATAGTTTGTTTTTTATTTTTTTGCATGTTAGTTTTTACTTTTTTTTTGTTCTTCGTTTTTTGGCTATCTTATCACTTTTTTATTTTAAAGCTACATATACTCGTTGTGCCACTTATAATCAACATAAGTGCAGAGTTCTAATATAATAATTGACGTGTAAAAGTGTTATTTTGTAAACTATTTTCAGAAATAAATATCATTTAATTTCATTTAATAACTACAACTTATACAAGCTCAAACAGTTGTTACTGTAAACCGTTAAAGACTTCCCTTACTTCCCTTAGCAATCACACCTCTTCATCGTCAGACCCTCAATGACACTCTGACTACATCTAGGTGTGAACCAAGCCCAAACACAAGGTACTTACTATAAACCTATGAGGAGTTCCCTCTATCATCAGGTCGACTCCAGACCCTTATCAAATTGTAATAGATATATAAGTCGACCCTACAATTTTCGAAAGTACCCCTCGGTTTCAGTGGGATTCTATCATCAGATCCTGATCTGATGAAAATGGTTCCCTTTCGGAAGTATAACCTTTAAAACAAAGCAAGAATTTTGGAAATCGGTTCACAAATGGCGGGGTAATCGGTGAACAAACAAAAATAAAACAGTTATCCGAACATAGTACGCCCCATTTTATTTTAATTCGGTAAAAATTAAGTACAGTAACCACAAATTACTCCACGATCACTGTACTAAATAAATGAAATAGAGAGTATTTCTAACTGTTCACAGCCTTTTGTAGTTGATTGTACTCGGTAATATTTAAGATACCAGCGTCTTACCTTCATCAAGCAACATTCCACAAGCAAAAAATGTTCTCAGAACAGATTTAATAGTTATGAAAATATTCACAATATTTATAACATTTTAATAAAAAGCTGTTTTTAATAAAATGCTCTGTAAAGTCATGAAGGGTTTACTAACAATGCGTTTATTATAAATAAGTAATTCTGTAGCATTTTGTAAGAAATTTATAATAAAATTTCATATTTTAACGGGCAGAATAGTTTAAGTATTTTACTCTTTACATGAGTCTGGAATTGTGCCCGGTATATGACAATAGGCTCACCCCCTATTACATGGGACTGATAACATAATTAATGTTCCTTAACCCGTAGTATGCCGGGAGCGTAGATATACCTACCCCTTCGGCGATAAAAGGCGTGATGTTATGTTAGATATGTGAAAATGCTTGAAATATTGATTCACTAACGCACTATACTACGAGTGCACTATGCACATACTCTGCAAAAGGGTTTATTATAATCTCCTCACTCGGCAGGGGTTGGACGTTATAGTATAAGGAATTACATTTGTCAGAGAGCAGTACCCACCGTCTGTTCTCTGTTGAATAGTTATTTATTCCTTCAGTCGGGAGGAGTAGGAGAGGTGGCAATAGGGTAGTGTCCTAAATTTTATTTTAATGTCCGTCAAGTACATTAATTTAAAACTTTAGACACGTATTTTTTATTTTCTCACAAAATTAAATACTTTCGACGATATATTCATTTGAAATATACTGCTACAAAATGTGTCACGCTGTGATGTCACAACATCACAGCGTGACACATTTTGTAGCACGCTATGACGTAACAACCTCCCACCTCCCAACTTAGCGCCATTTTATCTAAGTATTGCAACTTAATACGAGAAAATAAAAAATACTGTAGTGTCTAATAGTTTTTCATTATCTAACTGACTGACTAATTAGATTTTCAATTTTGATACCCTGGAAACAACCCAATTGTTCTACACTATCACTAGACGGCAACGAATATTGAAAATGGTCGAATATTTATTTGTATAACATAACATATATGTATATACCTATACATACATACTGGTGTTATAAAAGAATTGCTAGTCGCTATGTTTTGCCATGAGGCGTACAAACATTAAATTGCGTAAATAACTATATAACCTAATAAAACAAACGAATAACAGAAGATTTATAAAATAAGGGAAAAATTACATACAGAAAATAAATTCAAAACACAGATTCCATCCCATCTAAAGAAAATTAGATAGTATTAGAAATATAGTATTTATGATGCCCAATGTATATTGTATACATATAAATTCCCTGTGCGGTTTTGAAAGCTTTTGCG